CCCGGTGCGGGCTACGGCGGAGCTGGGCTGGCCTGGCCTGGCCTGGCCTGGGCAGAGAGGGCTCCCGGCGGAGAGGGCGGTGGGCGGGGCTCTGGGTGGGCGGGGCAGGGCGGGCCCTCCCACCCCAAGGGCCCTGCAGCCCCACAGCGGGTTTGAGGATTCTGGCGTGTGTATGTGTGTGTGTTTTGGGTATTCTGTACCTTTTGACCTGCCCGTACTGATGTCCATGTAGATTACTTCCTTGGTCTGCTTTATGTCCATAGTACTGATCTATATTTGTTTATTTGGTTCAAGATCAAGAGCATCTTTGGAATAGTGACCCAGATAACATAAATTAGGGAAAATTTACTTTATAGAAATTTTATTTTTAAAAAATCTAAGGAGATCTCCGTTTTTGTTGCAATTGTACAACCCTTTGGAAGTTTTAAAAGCCCATTTTCTTCTATGGTTTGATAACACTTAAAATGCTGAGGTTAAATTTTAGTTTCTCATTTTGAATGATCCATTAGTCATTTTTCTTAAAATTCTGAATTATTTATTGCATCTGAGTAAATCAATAAATTGGCCAGTGAGAAAGATTCCATTATAGTTTTTCAGTTTTCATGGTGGGCCTTAGCAGACTTCAGAAAATGTTTTTTTAAGTTAAAAAAAAAAAGAAAAAAAGCACTAAAGCCAAGTTAAGAAAAAAAAAGGCATGTGCATTTATGTATCTGTTATTGGAATTTCTCTTAGCTACAGTTCTTCACAATAAACTTATATTTAAAAGAAGTAAGCATAGTGGAAAAAAAGTTTGATACAGTCGTCTTTAGAAGCTGCGTGTCCTAGCATTTATTCTGAGGAATGCTTTGACACATCATGTCCCAAACCTGTTTGATAACAGGACTTGGTTTTTCTTAAAACAACCCAGTAAGGATTCTGATCGGTGATGCTGTGCACACACCTTGGCATTCTGTTCCAGGCGTCACTTCTCCCTGTTCCCTACGTTGATCTTGAACATGTTCCACCCACAGATGGAGACAGGAGTTGTGAACATCACATCAGTGCCCGGGACAGTGCCTTCTCTATTCAGAGAATATGTGAGAAGCTGAGAACTATCTCAAGGGTTGAAAATTAGTCCTTGGTCATCATTCTAGGGAAAAGGAAGGCTGGGCAGTGAAACTAAGAGCACTTTCGTTAGCCCTGTGAGCAGAGAGCAGGTGTGGAGATGGGTTCCAGGTCTTAGTGGATGCTGGGGGTGGTCCATGCAGGGTGGGTACCATGTGAGCCTACTGTGCACACCTGCGTTCTGTTCATAGAATAGAAATAACCCCAGTCCCCATAGATTATTGTTCTTGGTTGACATCTAGTTTCTAACAGTGAGAGATCAGTTAGGTCCATTGCCTAAGACAATGGGATGGCTTGGACACGGTGGTGAGATAAGCCCCTGGTCTAGAAGAGGGAGCGGCAGTGGAGTGTCTGTGTACCAAGCAACTTCACAAACACAGAGAGCCTTTCAGTCCTCAGACAACTCTTTAGTCCTCAGACAGCCCAGCCGGCTAGGGAACACCATTTCTATTAACCAACAAACAGATTGAGGCTCAGAGATGTTTGGTGATCAGCCCAAGGTCACACATCTGGGGGGTGAGGGGGCAGCAGGAATTTGAGTTCAGGTGTGAGCTATTTCCTTGTTTAATCCATCACATTTGAAAATTGGAGAGAGACAGCATTATTAGGCATATAATGGCCTTTTTCTTACTCTTGTTAAAGTGTCACGCCCAGAAGGAAGATGGTGAGAACCAGAGCAACTAGTCAGCAGTGACTTATCCTTGTTTGTGCAGAGGGAGCCCGCTGTGAATGAGCCGCAAAACTGATAACCGGTTTTCTTTTTCAGTCGTATGCAACACTAGGAAGGTGGGAATAGTTCCACTTGGAAGTGTTAGGAATTTTAATGTGCTGGAGCTCTGGCTATAATTTGATAGCATTTTAATCCACAGATTTAGCAGATACAGTGAAATGGCAACAGGAATTTGCTGGTGACAGGACTGATCGCACAGCCCCATCTGAGCCCCTCCCTGTCACTGAGCCTTTCTGCTTAGCGCTTGGGTCCCTCCTGACGAGTTATATTAAACCAGTGTTATCTTCTGACCCAGTGATTCCCATGTCGTGTCCATCTTTAGGAAATACGGACTAAGCTCTGTGCACAAGGGTTTCTATTATCGCACTGTTTACGCTACCAAACATTGGAAGAAATATAAAACTTCTGCACATTTTTCAACTAAAACTATATTTTAAAATTTTTGTGCAAACATGGACGTAATTAAAAAGATAAAACATGAAAGTGAAGGACAAACTAGGGTTCACGTGATGCACCTTTAACCTGAGACAAATGTCTAGAAATGTTTGAAACAGTACTGTTACCAGCTTCTAAAAATGTAACTGTAGTGATTATTATACACGGGAAGGCTTCATTTATGTAAAATCCCCACCATGCTCCAGAAATCATGTAAAGTAGTATGCAGAGCTGCACACAATTCAGAAAGATGGAATTCTTTAAATAGGTGATTGCAGAGAAGCTAAGGAAGCATAAGCTGTTGATGCCACGAGCTCCCGAAACGTCTTCTAAAAAGCCTTAGCGCTTGCCTGGAGGTAATCTGCAATTTCAGTTCTGAAGAACTGTCTACCCCCAGTGCGTGATCTGTTTACAGATCTACAGGTTAAAGTCACCAGCTGCTCAAGGAAAGCCCAAGGCGAGCAACAGGCACGTCCTGTTGGACCCTCAAAGGAGTGGACACTTACAAAGTACTGAGCAGTTTCTTCCGGGATGATCTTGTAGCAAACAAAATGACACATTTTACAGAACTGTCCCCAGAGTTGTGCTTCCGATGTCAGACTGGTGGCCAGCATCCCCCAGGGGACCCTCAGCAGTACAGTCCCTGGGCTGTCCGTGCCCTAGATGAAGAGGGAGGAGGCACAGAGCCTAGAGCTTGCCTTCAGTCCACGCAGCAACTGAATGACTGTCCTTCTGGCCAGCCATGCTAATTTTTTTCTTTTTCTGGGTGGAACTTTCCATCATCACTGAATGACAGCGAGTCCTGATTTCACTCCCCAAGGAGCCTGAGCAGTCGACACATTTTCTTTATAACAAGTGAGCTGGGAGACGTAATCACCTCTCACCTCCGTGTCCTCCGCACCCTCTGAAAGTGCAGACTCCCGTGAGGACCGCCTTAGGGCTGTGGAGTGCCGGCCACTGTGCCTCTGTGGGGAGAGGGACATGCTGCACTTGGTAAAAGAGCACTGGGCAGAGCACGCACACTGTGTGTTCCCCTGTGCTGTTTTTATTTTAAGAAGGCATGTCTTTATGAATTTTCAGCATCAGTGGCACATGCTGCTTTGAATTAGGGCAATATGAAGAGAAAAAAGCTTAGATTTAGAGTTAGGCTGACTTAAGTTCAAGTCTGGGCACTATCATTTAGTGCTCATGAGTCCTTGGTCATTTTACTTTGGTCTCTTAAGACTACTGTTGGCTGTTTCTTTTAGTTTTTTTAAATAAATTTTATTCTTTTAGAGCAGTTTCATGTTCACAACAGAACTGAGCAGAAAATACAGTTCGCACATAGCCCTCTCCCACACATACATACTCCCCTACCCTCAGCATCCCTCATCCGTGTGGCATGTTTGGTACAATTGATGAACCAACATGGGCACGTTATTATCAACCGAAGTCCACAGTTTACATTAGGGTTCATTCTTGCTGTTGTGCATTCTGTGGGCTTTGACAAATGCATGATGACATGAAGCCACGACTATAGTATCATACAGAATAACTTCATTGCCCTAAAAATCCCTTGTGCTTCATCTATTCACCCCTCCCTCCCTCTCTCCCCCCAGACCCCTGGAAACCACCATCTTTTTATGTTTCTGTAGCCGTGCCTTTTCCAGAATGTCGTTTGTTTGGGGCTGTTTCTTTCAATGCAGTATACACGGCAGAGCCTGAGATGGTCAGTGCGAAAATGTGATCATATATAGAGCTATTCCTTGAATGGCCACCGGGAGACAGCACAGTCACATTTTTGCATGGTGATTGGCTGGCCCCAATTGTGCAGGGTAAATAATTTACTTGAAGGAAATATATTCATGCTACATAGTTTTGATTTGTGGGTAATATACTTGAAGGATATTATACATATATAACTAGAAGTTTTTAACTAAGCCCTGGTATGTGAATGTGTGTATACACATACAAGCGTCCACATCCATCCATACAACACTAGTATCTCCTTAAAAAGGTCTTTCATGACACCAACAGATACATTGGCCAAATCCTGACGTTTTTAAGATGACATTTTAATGACAAGACTCAATATATAATTTAAAAATTCACAAACATGGAAAATCACCAAGTGTGGAATACAGTCATGACACCCAGACCAAGGACAGTCACTTTGAAGTTTGGTGTGTACCATGCACATGTGTCCGGGTGTAGGAACACACGCATACACGTGTGCATATCTGTGTGTGTCCACATATGACTCTCCTGTAGTTTTTAAGTGGTCTCAGTCTCTGAAAACTGCTTTGTAATTACCTTTATAATTTAAAATATATTGAAAACCTTTACCCTTGTCATCAAAAACTGTTCTCAAGTTTTGTGATTTGTCGCATTCCATCAGTCCAGGATCCTGTCATGACATAGTCTCTAACAAACATATCCTTTCCATGTTTTCCTCTGTGATAAATGATATTGTCATGCAAGCACATAATTCTGTCCATTGGCTAAAGTCCAGGGATTGGCCAGGGGATAAGCCTTTCAATACATATTTCCAGATCACTCTCTAGAAAAACCATCCAGTCCCTCTCCCTCCAACAGCGGGAGCAGGGACGGCCTCTGGCACTGCCTCACTGACACTTCTCCTGTGAAACTGA